CCCCACTCTGTCTCTGGTGAATCCTCTCACCCTCCACATCTCTGACCTGTACCCCAGTTCCATATGAATAAATAATCTTTAAAAAATAAAAAGCAATGTATTAGAAACAACCTTATTGCCCATTAACAAGAGAAATTATAACTAAATAGATACACTAGATTATGAAACACTGTTGGTAAGAATGTAAATTGTGGTGGGAAGCCCATGGGGATTATAACTGAGATGAAATGCACAAAATGAAGAATGATGTATATATAATAAATTTTAAAAAATAAATAAAAATGAATGTAAATTGGTGTAGTCCTTATGGAAAACAGTATGAAGAGTCCTCAAGCCATTAAGAACAGAACTATCATATGATCCAGCAATTCCACTTCTAGGTATCTAAAGACACACTGATTTAAAAATATATGCACTCCTATATTCATTGCAGTGCTATTTACAAAAGCAACACATGGCAGCAACTTCAATACCATCAGTAGCTATCTGGACATAGATGTGATAATATATGCACACTATATATCTGCACTCAGCTCTTTAAAAAGATGAAATCTTGCTATTTGCAACAACATGGATAGAACTTGAGGTGATTACACTAAGTCAGAAAGAGAAAGAAATTACCATATGATGTCACCCAAAGCAAACAAAGGTGCTTAATTCTTATTTTAAAATCAATCATCAACTTGTAGTAAAACTTTCAAATCCTACTTTCGGCTGTTCTATTAAATAAACACTAAAAGAATTAAGAATTTATAGGAAGCTTGATTTTTATACAAATCTATCTTTTTATATTAGACAGTGCTGTCTTTTAAAAATAAATTCAACTATTTGTCTTTTGGATTTCCTTATAGCAGAAACACATATAATGATAAATTAAAGCAGTAAGCTAAAGGGGAGGCAGTTTTAGAACTCACCATGAGACTGTTTCATATGATAGGGAAGAAGATGTCACTCTTTCCAAATAGGGGAATGAGAGAAGGAAAATCATATACAAGAAATTAGAAGTCAAGACTTGGAGTGAAAAAAAAAAAATAGGTGATTGTTTTTCAAAAGTGTGAAGGAATGGTTCCAAGAGATATCAAAACAGAAGACCAGTATGACTAACGTTTTCAGACTTGAGCATCTCAGAGGACACTGGTGATTTCTGTTGGACTCGAATGGGAGACATGTCCATCTCATACAGACATGATGGACCTTAGGTTTAAGCTGAAATCTGAACATTTTTGAAGCAGTTATTTAACATTGTGATTCAGAACAGAAATCCTGAGAACAACTTGGTAATTAATGATGGCTGATGTGGGAAATTCTGGATAATTGTGTCTCCAAGTTCTTTTCCTTTGGTGAATCTGCACTGACTTTTTTTTTTTTTTAATTTATTTTTATATGCAAGAACTGGGGTGTGGGAAGTGAGGGGATTCACCAGAGAGTGGGGGGCAAAAGAGGCGTACTGACTGAAGTACACTGCTGAAGGGAGCAGCGGGGAGCAGCGGGTGAGACAGGAGAGGTTTGCTGAGCCATGTGGGTCAGCTCCCTTGCTGGGGATCAAATTCTGCTACAGTGGCTGCAGCTAGCTTGAGGGTGCTGAGACTGAACCCCTGCACCAACAGAAAGGGCTGACAATCACTGATTTAGAACCAAAAGGAACCACCAGAGTTCCCTGAGGAAATGGGTCTTGTTACTATTAGGTACCCAGTGTTTGCAGGCTTTGGCCACAAAGTACCTCACGATTATTCAACATATAATGCTTGGAATGAACCTGCTGTCCCTTGGGGCATGATTTGCAAATATCCCTAGATCTGAATAGCCACTAGGTAAAGAGAAGTTGAGAGACACTGTTCAGGCATCTTATTCTTTCACTGCTCTACATTCTAGGTCAAAGCAGCAAGTTTGAAGCTCTGTATTTTGTTTTTAACAAGACTATAGGAGAAGTCAGGGAAAAGACAGGAGTCGGTATTCAAGAATATCCTAGTTTTGTTGAAATTTGTGTTATACTTTCAATGGCTTCAGTGTTTTACTCACCACCACTGCACAGAGGTTATATTTAGGGTGTTTCCGAAAAACTGGACAGATGTAAGGAGTAAGGTCCAAGTTAGTTAGCGGGTAATGAATATCTGTTCTCAGTTTCCTCTTCATTGTACCCAGAATGTCAAACCTGGAGAGACAGTGTGTGTGAAATATAAAATAAGATTGTGAATCATTTACAAAGGAAGCCCACATATTTGGTAAGTTCCAATACCGCTAAAAGTAATTTCTTGGAAATATGTACAGGCCTGTACATCAATCACTCCCATTTCCCCACCCTTGCCCCAGGGCCCAATCTGCACGTATTTTAAAACTCACAGACCTCACCAAAACTGAAACTGGAGGAGGCAGGGAGTAAGACAGAGAATCAAGATAGAAAGGACAAAGCAAGATTCTCAGGATCCAGGCAAGTAGAAATAATAGCAGCAAAATCCTGAAGACTTTGACAACGGACACTGTCTGCACTGAGCCAACACAGCTTTTCCATGTCTTGGTCGCAGCACACTGACTTGACTGTCTTACAGCTATGAGGTTTTAAAATGTTTTGTGAGGCCCTCCCTGGTGGCGCAGCGGGTTAAAGCACAGCGCTGGAAAGATAAAGCCACTTCCGCATGAGTTCGATTCCC